TATGGCCAAGATCTCTGGCAATACCATGTGATGCAATTCGGGCTTAGCAATGCTCCAGCAACATTTGAGAGGCTGATGGAAAGAGTACTGGAAGGCCGACAATGGAGAATAGCCTTGGTGTACCTGGATGATGTCATTGTATTTGCAACAAATTTTGATGAGGAAATGTCCCGGCTAGAGGAAATATTCAAGCGTTGGAAACCAGCAAACCTCAAACTCCATCCCAAGAAATGCCACTTGTTTCAGAAAAAGATGCTGGTTCAGATCATTAAAAACCCAGAGGGACAACTAGCACATTGGATCGGGAAAATAGACCAGTATAATTATGATATTGAATATAAAGAAGGAAAATCTCATGGAAATGACGATGGACTGAGCCAAAGACCCTGCAAAAATGACTGCAGACATTGCTGCAAAAGAAAAGTTGAACTAACCAGGTGCCATCAAGCTAAAGTCAAAGTGACTGAAGAAGTTGATGATGGTAAAAAGGAACCAGGTATAGATATTAAAGCAGAGCCGGAAAAACATCAAGATTTGAAACCAATAATTGATTTACTAAAAGCAAATGTTTTGCGCCCTGCTTGGGAGAAGGTGTCTAACTGAAGCCCTGTGACAAAGAACTATTGGGCACAGTGGGACCAGTTGAAGCTTGAAGATGGTATTGTTCTCCGGAGATGGGAAACTGCTGATGGGAAAGTGACGACCTGGCAAGTGGTCATACTGAGAAAGTTACGTGACGTTGTGCTACGTCAATCGCATGATACTTTAACAGGATGACATCTCCAAGTTAAGAAGACATTGAGTCACCTACGACAAAGATTTTACTGGATAGGTATGAGGCAAGATGTGGAAGAATGGTGCAGGACATTCAGTACATGTTGTGCTAAAAGGGGACCCAAACATAAAGGATGTGCTCCAATGAAGTTATATCAAGTTGGCGCACCAATGGAAAGAGTAGCTGTTGACATACTCGTGCTGGAAACAGGTACATTTGTGTGGTGATGGATCATTTCGCCAAGTGGCCTGAGGCATATGCAATACCAAATCAAGAAGCTACAACTGTAGCTTCGGTTATTAGTGATTTCTTCTTCAGATTTGGTATGCATTCAGATCAAGGCCGTAACTTTCAATCATGAATGCTGCACGTTCTTTTGCATAAGAAAGACCAGAACAACGCCACTTCACCCACAGTCTGATGGGATGGTATAAAAGTACAACTGGACACTGGGACAGGAATTAGCAAAGTTTTG